GCCTGTTTCTCTTACCCAATTCCTGCTTTAGATTTTCCCTATTCCTTCTTTTTATCCCATTAAAAATTCATCCTACTTATATATCTAATTTCCAATTCCCTGCTCCAAGTCCATATCCATACACACTTCTCTCTTCTCTTTCTTCACTATCCATTTTTTTCTCTCTTGCTATTTTTTTTATTTGTTGTAGTGTTTTTGTTTTATTTTATTTTAGTTTTATGTTTTTTGTTTTGTTTTGCCCTTCCTTTTCTCTATCCTATTGCTGTTGCTTGTTTGTTGATTAGATTAGTTTCTCTCTCTCTCTCTAACTTTCTCTCTCTCTTTCTCTCTTTCTCTCTTTCTCTCTCTCTTTCTCTCTCTCTCTCCTTCTGTTTTTCCTCTCCTCACTTGCTATTAGTTGTTGTTTATAGTTTGCATTCATCTCTGAGTGTTAGTTGTTTGCATTTTTTTTGGATTAGTTGTTGTTCTATTGAGTTTTCTCCCCATATAAATAGTTTTTTCCCTTCTTTTTTATTCTCTTTCTTTCTCTATTACTTTTTTCTTTTCCTCAATATCATGTTTGCACTCTCTTGCTCTTTTTATCCCCTAATTTTCTTTACTCTGGTGGTCACTTTTATTAGGGGTTATTAGTATTGTGAATACATTTGTGTTCAGTGCTTTGTGCACTACGCCTTGTTGCTATTGTATTTTGAGCCCTGAAATTAATGCAGGAGAGAGTGAGCTACATAACCAGACACCCAGAGAGAGAGATCATGGTAAGACAAAGAAACAAAAGGAGCCAACACCAGAAAAGGAAGTAAAAGGAATGGAGGCAAGCTAAATGTCAGAGAAAGAATTCAGAGAAATGGTCATAAGGTCGCTGAAAAGATTGGAAGACAAATTCAACAATACGTGTAAGAACCAAGAGAATATAAAGAACCAACAAGAAAAAAAATGCCATCACTGCAATAAAGAACTCAATAGAAACCATTGACAGCAGACTAGAAGAAGCGGAGGATCATATCAGTGAGCTAGAAGACAAGGTAGGAAAAAACATCTGAGTAGAGCAGGAAAAAACAAAAAAACAAAAAAACAAACCCTTAAAAAAACAGGAGGAGAGCCTAAGGGAACTTTGGGATACCATGTAATAAAACAACATCCGAAGAATAATGTGAGTGCCAGAAGTAGAGGAAACTGAGCAAGAAATAGAAAACCTGTATAAAGAAATAATGACAGAAAATTTCCCTGATATTAAGAAGAAAAAACTCACACAAGTCCAGGAAGCTCACAGAGACCCAAACAAAATGAACCCCCAAAATATCTGTGCCAAGGCACATTATAATTAAATTTGCAAACACCAATGACAAAATTAGAATCTTAAAAGTGACCAGAGAGAAACAGAAGTTACCTAAAAAGGATCCCACATCAGACTAGTGACTGATTTCTCAACAGAAATACATCAGACCAGAAGAGAATGTAATGAAATATACAAAGTCATACATTCTGAATCCAAGTCATACATTCTGTACCCAGCTAGGTTATCAATCAAAATTGAGGGTGAAATCAGGAGCTTCAGAGAGAAAACGAGACCAAGGGAGTTTATTACCACCAAATGGAATAAATGCTAAAGGATCTGCTGTTAAAAGAAGAAATAGGAATTAAAGGAGGGAAATTTGGTCAGATACATGCAAAAAAAAAAAAGAAAAAAAAAAAGGGAAACTAGAGCACCAAATTACACCATACATAAAAACAAACTCAAAATGGCTAAAGGACTTGAACATAAGATGGGAAACCATAAAAATCCTACAAGACTCCATAGGCAGCAAAATTGCAGACATATGTTGTAGCAACATCTCTACAGACACAGCTCCTAGGGCAAGAGAGACTAAGAAGAAAATAAACAAAGAGGACTACATCAAAATAAAAAGCTTATGCAAAGGCTCCAGTGGCGCAATCGGTTAGCATGCGGTACTTATAAAAAGCTTATGCACAGCAAAAGAAATCATGAACAAAACAACAAGAAAGCTCACTGCATGGGAGAATATATTTTCCAATGTTATCTCTGATAAGGATGTAATATCCAACATTTACAGAAAACTCATACAACTTAACAAAAGGAAGAGAAACAATAAAATAAAATAAAATAAAAATGGGCAAAGGACCTAACTAGATACTTTTCGAAAGAGGACATTCAGAAAGTCAAGTGATATATAAAAACATGCTCAAAGTCACTAATCAGGTGAGAGATGCAAATCAAAACAACAATGAGGTACAACCTCACACCTGTCAGAATGGCTATCATCAACAAATCAACAGATGACAAGTGCTGGCAAGGATGCGGAGAAAAAGGAATCCTCGTTCTCTGCTGGTGGGAATGCAGACTGGTACAGCCATTATGGAAAACAGTATGGAGTTTCCTCAAAAATTTAAAAATGGAACTTCCATTTGACTCAATAATACCACTTTCAAGACAATATTCCAAGAAACTAGAAACACCAATTAGAAAGGATATATGCACCCTTATGTTCATAGCAGCACAATTTACAATAGCTAAGATTTGGAAACAGCCTAAATGCCCATCAGCAAATGAGTGAATTAGAATATGGTACTTCTACAATGGAATACTACGCTGCTAGAAAAAAGAAGTAATCCCTACCATTTGAAGCAGCATGGATGGAACTGGAAAGCATTATGCTAAGTGCAATAAGCCAGGCAGTGAAAGAAAAATACATGATCTTACTCATTTATGAATAGTAAAGAACATTATAACCTCATGAACAAAAAGATAGATACAGAGGCAGACTGTCAAATTACAGCAGGAAGGCTAGGAAGGTAAGATATCAACTGCAGGACTTGTATGCATGCATATAAGCATAACCAATGGGCGCAAGACACTGGGGTGGGGGTGGGGATGTGTCAAGGGGTAGTGGAGGCTGGGGGAAGGTCAATGGGGGGAAAAAGGAGGCATACACGCTACTATTTGTAATATTTTAAACAATAAAAAAAAGTTTTACATTTTTAGATGCTTGGGAGGAAGGGGCTGTCAAAAGAAGAGTATCTCAAATTTCAATAAAAGGAAACACTGTCACATTTGTTCACAGACATATTGGCTACGCTGCTCTTACAATGATAGAGCTAGGACTATGACACAAACCACACACGGTCTGCAAAGCTGAAAATAGTTACTATCTGGCCCTTTAGAGAAAAATGTGCTGACTTCCGCTCTAAGGCATTCCATTTTATGCTTACTTAACATCTCTAATTGGATGTCTTAAAAAATATCCCATGTTTAACATATCCCAAATCAAACACCTGATTTCCTCCACCACACAGACCCAGAATCATGTTTTAAGCCTTCCCCTGTGGAAAATCCATCCTATATAAAAATCCATCCTATGTAAATTTACATTCTATGTAAAAAGCAGAGACCTAGAGTTCTTTCTTTCAATCATGACCAAAGCCATCAGCAAATCTGGTCAACTGTGCCTCTGAAATACCCAAACACACTTCCTTCCTTCCACTGCCTAGAACCCTTGGCCCAAGCCACCATCGTCTCTTTTCTGAGTCACTGTCTTAATTTCTTCCTAGGACTTTTGCTTTGTTTCTTGCTCAAGACAGCAGCCAGAATACTCTTCTGCTCACAACCCTTTGGCCTTTCTAAACATGCCAACCACACTCCTACTCCAGGATTCTGGGGATCCCCAATCTGTGCAGACCTCTTCCCAATGCCATCCTATTTTTATACAGGCTCTCCCCTCCATCCAACCTGAACCCATACTCTTAGGCCTTGAGTCAACCTTTCCCTTGCTTTATTGTTCACCACATAATCTGTTTCCCACATGATATATATATATATATATATATATATATATATATATATATATACACATATACATATATCAGGTTTTCATAGTATTTAGGCTTCCTGAGGGTAGAAGTTTAGTTCATTTTCTTCAATAATATATCTCTGGCATTAGACCAGGGCCTGGCACATCAGGTATTAAGTATCTGCTGAATGAATGAGAAATCGGTCCCTACATTCAGGAAGCACTGAGTTCAGTGACATACAGAGATGGGTGAATATCTTCAGCATATAAATAATTGTACTGAATGGGGCTTAATAATACATTTCTTATTTTACCTACTTATTAGTAAACACTATATTCTAAACAAATCCAATGCTGGGATTTTAATCAAAGGGAGAGAAAGCTAACTCCGTAACATCATGGTCTCTGTATGAAATTACAAGCAAATCTACTTCACTGCACAGGGCCACTGGTTACATGCCCGGAGTCCCATTCTTACCTTCTGGTTCAGCCTTAATTCCCTCCTTTGCAAATCTGTCAATTCAAAGTCCATTCTGACTACAGGTACCACCTCAACTCCTCCTCCTAACTCTTCTCCCTAAGTCCTACTATTCATCTCCTGTGAAAATATTAATGCTTGAAATTACTCTTCGGTGGAGCTCCTGTCTACCACTCTTGAAAGGGATATTCGTTTCTTAGCCACAAATGCAGTGAAACTGAGTTTTCACAGAGATAATATATCCATTAAAAACTATAATTTCTAAGAATGAACTCAAGTTTAGTCAAAAATTTGGGAGAGTTCAGAGTAACAATAACAGAATTACACACTTGAAATCTATATAATTTTATTAACCAATGTCACCCCAATAAATTTACTAAAAATTTTAATGGAAAAAAAAGAAACTATGAATAATAAAAATAATGATCATGAGTAGCATTCTACTGTGTAACCTAGAGGCAGTGCACTTTCTAAGCATTTAAGGAAAAATATCTGAGGGAGGTTTATGAGTAGTAAAATGCATCAATGGACCAATAACACCACCATACTCAAAACTATCATGGTAGAAATGACATTCCCTGCTTGGCTTCTTCACTTCCTGGTCACTTTTTAACTAGGAAAAAGAGTAACAGTTTTCATTTTTTGATTTTCAAATAAATATCCGGGAAAGCTGCATATGTGGTAATGGAAGAATCAATGACAAGAAATAGTCATACCCTTTCCTCCAGTCGAGCCAGCTGTTCTTTGTAGAATGCATCTTGCCTCTTTATCATTCGATCTTTCTCTTCCAGCAGCCTTGCCTATAAAAAGAAATGAAGAATATACTATATTAGGAAAAAAGCAACAGCAAAGCAAAAGTCAAATATAAATTACATTAGAAATAAGTACACAAAGTAGAAGATTTCTTCAAACTATTAGGTCTCTGCCATAGAAAAACATTAATAGGATGATGATTGCTGTATTTAAATGTAAAGAATGAGTCTGCATTGTTTTTTTCTTTTTCTTTTTACTGTAACAGCTGTGTCCTACTTTGTCCAAATGCATCATAATACAGCAGAGACAGTTTTTATTTAACTTCTCTTTTATAGAGTAATTTCAAGCATTAATATTTTTACACAATAAAACTTTGATTTTAATCTGGGCATAAGATAGATGATTATTAGCCTTTCTTAAACAATAAAAAAATGCCTATGCGACACTGTATACATAAACTTTGTAATTGGGAACCCTTAAATTACTTAGTGAAATCTGAATATGAATTACGTGTATTGGTCTACTTCCTTTTTTATGAAGCAGCTATCTTTAGAGAGAGGACCAAAAACTACTATAAATGTTTATGTGAATAATTAAAAATCAATAATCATAAAAATAATGCAGTTAATTAAAAATATTTTTTCCACATCTAAATTTATGGTCTTTTTTACAAAATAAAAACACAATAAGCTATTTTTTATTCTTGAAAATCATGACAAAGATAGTTATTTATGTTTTTCTAGATTAGCAAAATGTGGGTTTTTCACACAATTGTTTGTATCTCGATCATTATGTTTAAGCGACCTTTTTCCATATCACTTTCCTATATCACCTTAAGTTAAGAAAGTTTCAAATATATTTTTAGTTTTGTGAATGCTGAATATACACTTGACCAGGAACTTTAAGAAATTATGAAAGGATATGTTCTGGCATTCCCATTCTTGGCCCACACAATATTTTTTTTTTTGGGGGGGGGGGGGGGGGCAAGGTGATCAAGTATCACCTGGCTCAACTCCTATAAAGGTGACTTCCACTCTGTTCAGTTTAAGAGAACCCATTTGCACATTTGTAGGTCATTGTTTTGCTACTTACTTTGACTTCAATGTCCTGCAGCATGTTAAAAACAAATAATCATTTAGCAAGGTAAGTATGCTGTTTCCTAATGTCAGAAAGAAAGCCAATGCATAATACCTACCTAAATGCAAATCAAAGAAGGCAACAGCAGGAAAAGAGGGCTTTGCTTAACTTGCTTAAATGTGACTAGGCTATTATTTTAAATAGAAGATTTCAGTGAAAAGATCATGCTATGTAAAAGCATAAGATTAAAAAAACAAATACAATATTAAGATTTGATAAAAGTACATTAACATGTAAGTACATAATCTACAGTTCCTTGGTACAACACAATAAAAGCCTGCTATCAGGCAGGAACAGAAGAGGAAAAAATAAATGGAAAACTTTAACAAAGTTAAGTGTGAAGAAAATGTGCACGACTATATATATGATCTATAGAGAAAAAAGACTTTTCTAAATTCAACAGACACTCCAAAAAATAAAGCAAATGCAAACCAATGGACTTACTATAAAATTCTCCATAAAATGTAGAAATCATTAAACCAAATAAAAAGCAAATGAGAAAAAGAGGAAAAGATATTCCAACATGTAGACGTAAGAGTTAATGTTACTAAAATATAGAGCACTTAAAAAATAAGCCCTCTCCCCCACCCACAAATGACATAGACTGGTAAATCACACACAAAAGTACAAAAAATAAACACGTGGGGAAAAAAAATACTAAAACCCAGAGGAAGTCAAAGAAAAAATTTTTTAAAAAATACTATTATTCATCTATCGAAGTTACAAAAATGTAAAATAATATTAATAAGGATATAGAAAACTAGAGTTGGTCAGAATGTAAACTGGTATAGCTACTTTTCAAATCAATTTGATAGTCTAATAAGACTTAAAGTATATACATTCATTGATATCTAAACACTATTTTTAGAACTCTTAAGTAATTATAGCAATATTCAGAGACATAGATAACTGGGTTATTTAGAATTGCAAAGAAACAAAAACAAAACCCACTTTAATTATTAAATATAAATAAACTCCAAATATACTAAGTAAAAAACAAAAAACACCACAAATAGAAAAGATCTCTCTCTCTCTCTCTTTCTCTGTAGAGTAGAGGGGGAAAAGACCAACAAAAATATCAACAAAGATTATCGCAGTGTGGTTTCCACTTCATTTTGCTTCTTTATATATTCTAAATAACAAATAAACACACTTGGAACTCAGGAGGCAAGTTGACATGAGAGAACTATTTTGTTTCTTGATTACGGTGGTGGAAAAATTGTAGAACTAATATTGCAAAGAATGAATTTCACTACATAATGAATACAAATAAAGCATACTAAAATATCTACATATAAATATATGAATATGTGTGTATGTATCTTTATTACTGTCAACCTGCTTATCACTTGGCCAATTTTACTTCTAGTCATTTAATCCTAGGAAATACTAAGAAAAACACACAAGGATTTACTTCTAAGAAAATGCAGCCAGCATTATTTTCAGCAGCAAAACATTGGGAATGACAGAGGTGTGAGTAAATAAGATTTGGTCAAACAACAGGATATTGATTATAAAGATTTTAGTCCAGCCATAATGATCAAACATTGAAAGCCACTAAAAATAATGTTTTAATAGAATAATTGAATTTTTTTTACTCAAAATATTATATGGGGTAAAAATAGGTTATAAAATAGCATGTATAGTAAGTTCTTAATTTTGGCTAAGAAACAGGAGTTAGGAGGCAAAAGGGAGAAAAAGAGAGAGTTGAGTGTCTAGTTATATAAACATGGAAAAAATCTAAAGTATGCTATGATGTTAAAGTATGCTATGATATGGTATGCATAGTGGGATATTTTTCTTATTTGGACTATTTTCCACTTTCCAATTTTTCTATAATGAACAATCATTACTTCTATAATCATGAAACTATTTTAAACATTAATATCACATACATTTATTCCTGACTGAGATGAAAACATATGAAGCTGAGAGGGTGAGCTCTTAAGTAACCACATTGACAAAGGAAAAAAAATTGTTGCAATAGTTTGAAGAGTTATTTACAACATGGAAATTATTTTACCTACTAAGTCCTTAATGCGTTAACACTTTATTCTCTCTCCCATTCAATGTATGCATTACCCACCACGGTTCTTAAAACACCCGCACTAAGTGTTTCTTTTGTTCGTGTACAGTTGCGCAGTGAGATTATTTTAAAATTCAACACTTCAGTATTATTGGAGCCTACTGAGGGTTACAACAACTAAGAAATTTAATTTTGAGGGGCTGATTGCAACCTAAATAAAGCACACTCATTTACAATTCCAAATGTAATTCCTGAAACTTGAATGCAACACAATATATGATATGCCCACTAAAGAAGAACTACTTCCAAAGATCAGATATGCTCACTAAAGAAGAACACTTCCAAAGACCTGAAAACACCCAACCACAGTTTGACATCATAAATCTTTCCCTAGATGACCGGCAGAATCAATAGTCTGAAATCACTGCGGAGAACAACAAAGCAGAGAGACATGGCCACAACACTTTAATGGCGCATTGCTTTGAAACAGTTAATGTGATGCTGGGAGTGAAAGTCACACAATATGAATCCTAAAACTTAAATAAGCCTGGAATACATTGACTAAGCTAATAACTGCCAAGGATGGAGAGTCACAGTCAACCCAAGGAAAAGCAGAGCACCAAGTGCAAGGAGAGAAAACGTCTATGTGCAAGTCCATCAGAAACAGAATCACTGGGAGTGAACAAGCAGCATCACAACATCATTTACTGTTCTAGTCGAATCATGTCTTAGGAAAAATGAATACAAAAGTTTCCCCAACTCCTGTGTGTTATTCCTCCCACCTCACAAAATGTGCCCTGATTTAATTTTCAGATCCTGCAGATTTGGGGTGAAAGGACTGAGCTTGAAACCATGGCAGAAAGAGTTTACATGAGTCATGATGGAAAACTAGAAAGTTCCATATGCCAGAGAAACAAAAAAATAAATAAAATAAAATAAAAAATAAAAAATGAAGTGTACTTTAAGAACATAGACTTGTTGGCAGCTAGATTCATAATGAAGTATGCGTGGATTTCCTTCCTTGAAGACTTGCCTTTTTTCAGAAAGGATAGACAAGTTTGTATACCTATCAACCTCCTCTCTTCATTCACTGTTTTACATTTTTATTTTAAAATCTACTTATCTTTGTCTGTGCTTTTTTTTTTTCCAAGAAGCAGATAAGCCTCAAAGAGGCAGAGGACAGGTTTTGAAAATGTCCTTGAAAGTGCTTACAACGAGATATAGAAAGTTCAACAGGAAAAAAACAAAACAAAATAAAAACTTGGACTACGGATATGGCATATTGTGCTGGTAGAACTTTACCTTCTTCCACACAGTCTTAGGAAAATCTTCACAGACAAAATGTTTTGACATAGTGGCTCAGCTCCCTTAGGCCTGGCTGCTCCTGAGGACTGAAGTATCTCTCCCTCTGGGTCTATGACATTTGGAACCCGGTGACATCACAATCTCTTAGCTCAGAAGTAGTACTGTTACTTCACTCCCCATGAAAGGCATGTTAAGATTTTGTGCTATGGAAAAGTTCCTTGAAATGTCAGGGTTCAATTTTAATAGCTCTAGGTAGAAAATAATACAGGAACCAGCTCAATTTTCTATGGCATATTATGAAACCAGAGATTACTAGGATTGAAAAAAAGGCAAGAATTGTAAACCAATATAAATAGGAAATCCTTGTAACTCATTTCCTGTCATTCTAAATCTTACAAGAAATCTCAACATAAATATAATGGACTGGAAAACATTTAACCTTTCACAATGATATGGATAATCTGTGGTAGACAAAATATCTATCTATCTATCTATCTATCTATCTATCTATCTATCCATCCATCCACTAATCATCTTACAATTCACATAGGCAAACAAGAGCTAGGGAAAGTGCTTTAT